ATTTGTTTTACTCAGTTGAATTCAGAAATATGTATATGAATCAAATCCCAAGTCTTTGTTTGGGTTAACAGTATACGCAAAACCAATTATAATATACCACCAAAGAGTCCGTCCAGTTCAGCTAACAACTTGAATTTGAATAGGAATCACAAAGATAAAGGTGAACTTTTTTGGTATTTGGGATTCATGGATCAAAAACCAATCTATGTACATAACATATGGTTTTAAAGGGGTTCACCAAATACCACATTTTACTAGTATTCTTTTGTGTATGTGTAATTAAATGGAAAATAATCAAATTCAAGAATAAATCAAGCAACAAGAATAAAAATTATTATATCCACAAAATCAAGACAATAGATTTTTTCATGTGAAAATTCCTTGAGGGGAAAAAACCAAGATCAAGAGGAATTGGAGACCAAATCACTGTTGATCATTGAGCAAAACCATAACTCCCCTACTAACCTTCTTGCTGCTGTTGCAACTCACTCTCATAGTCTCTCTACTGTTTTTTACAATGTTGATCAAAACCAACTATTGGCCATTATTTAAAGCTCCACTTACATGATATATTCAAGGTCCAAGCTCCACGCAGTTCATGTATGTATTCATGAAGGGTTTCCTCAACACCGGATGAATGGATACATACAACAGAAGAATCATGAAGAAATAAAAAACTAAAATGGTTGGTTAACATAGTTGAGTATAGCATAAATTAGCCTAATAATAAATCCTCCTACAACTAACAACTTGCATTCAAATTTTTAAAATTTGCACACGTTAAAGAATTAGAATGTGACGATGCACCTGGAAATGATTTTTGCATAATGCTGCCTCAAAGCTTTACTCCATCCACCTTTATATATATATATATATATCCTCGAATTGTCCTTGATTTAGGGAATTGATCAAGGGAAGTTACTAGAAAAACTCAAAGAAAATCCATGTCTGCAAAAATGAATTAAAGCTTAGCATTTTCTTGATAAAATGATAGAGAATCACTCTGAACAACTGATGGATGAGAAAGTGAACCCTACCTTACTAGAGAGGGCATTCTTTGGCGGGTAGAACATTATAGCTTCAAGCCTACAACTATGACAAATTTGTGAACACCACCATTTTTCATCAAATTGTTAGATCTTGAAGCTACTTTGCAAGTCAGCCCATTCTTAAGTAAAATAGCAGTGTTTGTGCTGCAATATTGGTTGTGACTTGGATGAATAAAGAGAGAATGCAGTATACATTGTTGGATTACTCATTTCTGACTCATCATATTGGAAGCATCATCTCCCACATGAAAGGCAACGTTAATGTCAAAGCATCCAACAGCTACTCTCTGAAGAAAGATCTTGCTTAAAAAGGGAGGCTTGAACTCGTAATCTAGGATCAATCACCTTCTAACTAATCTTGTAGTTGACTTGAAAAAGGTAAAGGGCTTAATAAGATGCTACAAGATTCAAGATATGAGCTATGTTGGATTCTACACAGTTGTAGGAAAGCAGTCCCTAAAATTGTGGGAAATGTGAGATAAGAAGATAACTTCTGGCACATAAAAGGAAAAAGGAAGTCACAAAACAAAGTGATCCTACATAGGCCTAACAAGATTTTCCTATATCCTCTGCAGAAGCAATAGGGAACATTAAAAAAGAATAGGAAAAATAGAAAAATCAAAGGCTAAACTGAATTTAGAGCACACAAAAAGCACCAATTGTAACATAAAAAAGAAAGAGGGATGAGTGAATTGCAGAAATGAAATCAAAATAAAATAATAACATAAAGCTGTAGAAATCTATATAATCTGGAAAAAAAATTGAAAAATTTCAAAATAAATGATAGAAATTAGTTAATCTTTAATGCAACCGATATATATTAATCAAGAGAAGGGAGCAATGGGAAATAATCATTTAATTCCAAGTTAGCTAACATCATAGATAGCAGACAAATATACTAGTATATCATCAAAATGTATAATTTTGCTCAAATAAAATGAATTGTAGAGATAGCCTGATATATCAAATTTTGATTCCTTGTCCTAAACAATAACAACAGTAAAGCAAATAGGCTTCACAATAAAATTTTAAAGACGTAATTTGGATACTTACAAGGTAAATTATGCTTTGCCAAATTAAAAACTTGTAAAATTGTAGCTTGATTTAGTCAGATTACAAGCTTATACAATTCAGCAAAGCCCATCTATGTTTCAGTTCCAGCTTACAAGCTTGTTTAGTTTGGAAAAGGTCATCTACGTTCCAGTTCCAGCTTACAGAAAAATCTCATTTGAACATCAGCACTTGCTTGTTTCAAAAGTCTTCCCAATTCTTTAGAATGGAGAACATGAGGTCCTGCAATATTCAATTTAAAATTCAAATTGGTTGGCTTGCCTAAGAACATCATTTTGCAAGCTCATTGGTGATTGTGAATTCCCGTGATGCCAAGGCTAACCACTCATACCCTTTGAAATAATCTGAAAGCATAAGCCATTTTTGAGCAAGTGAATGCATGCATGTTCGAGAGGAAAATAATTTTTAGGTGCATAATAATAGTATATACATATGATGAATCCAAGAAATGAATGAAGTACTAGTAACATTGAGGAGTGGCTTGGCTTTATTTACCTCATCAACAATTGGTTGTAGCTAGCTCGCTCTACCAGTCAATCTGCACAAAAAGGATTTACAATTTTAGAAAAATGGATCCTTAGTCTCTATGAGCATCACATACCATTGGAGAAGATACTAGGAAGTAATTACTAACTTTGATGACTTCCCAAACTAGACATTTGTAAATGGAGTGATTTTTTCTGGAGAGGATTTTGGTGGCGGGGGAGGTGATGGGGCAACAGCAGTTGCTACAGGAGCTGATCCAGATTTGTTTGTGCCAAAACCATAAATCTAAAGATTTTCCATGGTCAAAAGATCTTCCTTTATGTGGAGAGACCTTTGACAATTGAGATTTAAGGATTAAAGAAAAAAAAAAAAAAGAAAACCAGAGATAGAAGATAACTTGTCCATTAATATTGTTAGTTTCTTACCCATATACCCAAGGACAATTTCATCCTTAAAATGAAGAGCTAGGAAGAAGGTCAATTTACATTTAATTATCTGAAAATGAGCCTCTAAAAATCAACTGTGGCTCATCATATATACCTAGTCAAATAGTCTAAAATTGTTGGCTCAAAACAGTATGAGTTTACGAGGTTGGCTTTGCCTAAGAACATCATTTCGAAAGCTCATGTGGGGCTTTCATCAATATAGATATTTCTAATGTAAAGTTGAACTCCGCAATCCCTTTCCAACAAAACAACCTGAAAAGGTTAATGAAATCATAAACCATTTTGGAGGCAATTGAATGCATTTTTTTAGATGAAGAGATTGAAGGGAAATGAAAGTCTTGAACATCATCTGGAAATGGAGAGGTGCAAGAAAAAATATATATGAATTGCATAGTGCATAAGTTTTAACCTGATCCAAGGTTTAACTTATCATCTAAATGTTTCATTTTACATATTTTCCTTAGGACAATATATATATATATATATATATATA